CTCTAAACCCTGACCCGGCAGAAATCCCTTCCCAGCAAGGTTCAGTAGTCATGTATGTGTGTATATAAACACAAATATGTGTGTATATATATATACACACACACATATTTATGCACGTACATAGACACACACAAAAGAAATGCAGTTCTATGTATTCCTGCTAACTACACAAATGGGTCTGAATGCGAGCCCTTAAACTTTGCATAATCTCACCAGAATTAAAAATTTTTGCAGTTCTGACGCTAACGTGACTAACCAGCAGGTTTCCAGCATTTTGCTGTACACGTACAGAGTCACAGCAGTGAGTCACAGCAACAGACAGGACTCCACAATGAAAGTTCACGCCCAAAGACGTAAATATCTTCTACTTTGCTCACTAGCAGGCGTACAACTGAACTGCTAAGCTACACTATCAGAAGTCAAAATTAGATTCAAGCCCTTCTGTTTCACACCCAGTGATGCAAGCTACACTGCAGGTAAAATTTTATCCTCTAAATATTCCAACACTTGTTTTTCCTTTGCAACGTCAGAGACTTGCGTAGCACGCAGTTAAATGGGTCAAAGAAAATCTGAACATAAAACAGGGGAAGATGTGCAATTATGAATACATCATGAACAAAAATAAAGACAGTTCTTATGCATTAACGGTACATCAAGCTAATTCAAGAAGGTTAAAATCATTAAAAAGGCATCCTGGGGCAATACACAGTCATTACAATACTGTGCTGACAAGAAATATTAAAATAATCATTTCCAATGTAACTGATAAAATCCATTATGATAAGCAGGAAAAAAAAAATCCCTTAATTCTTAATTGGGAAATCTGAAGTAAAAGGGATCTTATTAGCATTTGATCTTTTTTTTAAAACTTAATTCCCCTGTCTGACAATTCCCAATTCCAAACATCAAAAGCTAAAAAAGAATTTATTATCCTCCATCATGGGCCATGTTATTTAGCTACTCTCCTGGAACATGGGAGTTTTTCTTGACTGAAGTTCAGGGCCTGCCTGCGCAGCCCCGACTTATAGCAGCATCAGAGGTTAGCTCCAAGTGGGACAATGCTGAAGGTTAACACCAGCCCTCAAATTTCCAAAATCCTGCTTCCCTGTGGAGTGCAGACTTTTACACAAAACAGCCGACTGTCACATCCCAGGATGCCTGAATGCTTACTGCACTTAGGAAATTACAAGCTCTATCACAGTATCAAAACAGCTGCATTTGTAAATTATTATTAGGGTATAAAAAAAATGAGCAATTGATCATTTGCACATTTCAAAAGTCTCAGAACCACCATCCTGATGACTGCTGTTGACAAATCATAGTTTTCACCTTCTTAAAACATTAAAGAACGGTCCTCTCAAATTACAGATGTACATTAACTACGCACCAGCATTCATAAAGTTTCTGCAGATGAAGGTAAAATACTACCGTAACGCAGTGTTCATACTACAGAGGTATGAACCTACTCTTACAACCAACAGTGAGCTTACAGTGCTACAATGCAGCACTGTGAACAACGCATTTGGATTTAACTAAAGAATAAAGTACCATTTTCATAATAACAATCATTCAAGTTAAATTATTCTACCACTCCACTGTGAGGACAATAGGAAACAAGTTATAATAGACAAAAGTCATAACAGATGACCGCTAACAGAGTTCAGCAGATGCTTGCAGGGGAAAAATCCAAAATCAATTTCGAATGTGTGTGCAATGAAGGAGTAAAAGGCTCTTCAATGCCACTTCCAATTTTTCATCGAAAACACAGGTCTACATCCGACCCAGGCAGAAAACAGAAGCAAAAAACTAGATTTAGAAAAAGCTTGCAAAACAGCACCTTTAGTAACAAAACTGCTAATGGGTGTGTTGAAGAAAAGTCTGCTGTAACTCGGTCTGGTAACAGACAGGGGCTTGGCCAATGGAGGTTCACAGACAGTTTCAGATTCACCAACTCACTGGCAATTCAAACTTCATGAAGAACAGAAGAGGGAGAGGAAGAGGGTGCATTTGGACCACAAATGATATATTTAAGTCACATCTGGTGCAAACCATTGCATAGTGTTGGACTTGATTAAAACAGGACTCTCTGCATGCAAAGCAACAGCTCTAAAACTACCTTGATTAAACCAAACCCGATCTCCCCATTGCATCCACTACAATATCCACATTTGCAAAAAAAGGACACATGGCAATCAAAATGATTCTAAAAAAGCAGAAGAAATTAAAAGCTCATCAAAACTACAACCAGCAAAAACTGTGGGACACCTTGACCAACATACTGAAACACCCTCACAGAGCTACCAAAGCCAACACTTGGAGCATGTAAACACAGAGCACAACCTGGAATATAACGCCTCGTGATTAAATCCTACACCTAAATCCCAAGAACACATACCTGTCCACCTCGGACCAAAGCCTAGAAACAATTTCAGCACACAAAGCGGTCTTAATGGGCGTAGTAGCTCCATGTCTTGTATACAGCTACCCACTTGTCAATTCACTTGCACTTTAAAAAAAAAGAATTTTTAAATCAACGGGGTCCAAGTCATGCAACCAGGCAGACCTTTGGCTCCCCTGTCGAAGAAGGGGCCCAATTCCTCTAGTAGAAGGTGAGGAAGAGCCGCTCCAGCTTAACACCAGCTTCAGAGAAGACGCGATACTATGCAGAAGCCAGCAAGGCAACAGACTGGCTGCACACAGTCAAGACTTGCCAAGCACCAAGATGTCCCACAACTGACAGGGCAGCGATGTCAAGCCACAAGCCATTCTGGGGTATTTTACTAGATTACATCAAGTGTGGCTGTGGATATTATATATTCTATGTCTATCATCATACAATGAAGGTGGAAGAAAATTGGGAGTGTGCATGTAGAACGAGCGTACATTTCGTCATACCGGCTTTTACTTCCTACTGAATACAATTTCATCAAAGATGCAACCTGTTCTTTGCCAAAAAAGTAAAGAAATCGAAGTTATTGTCCTTAGTCAAAGGCTTTCACAGTATTCATGGTCATTAAAGCAATGGTGATACAGCCAGCACCTACAGCGTTGGCTGGTGCCAAGTGACAGCCCTCCCCACCACACCACCCACCTCCCAGTAAGCCAGCCTCCTGATGGACAGCACAATGGTATTTCACATCCTTTTTCTAATGCAAAGATAATTCAGAAACCTTCTTCAAAATTCTGCACTTCTACCCGTTGCCTTTCGAAGGTCTGCACACAGACTATACGAACCTTCTGAAGAAACCACTAAAACACTGCCAAGCCTATGTTCGACCTGAATGTCATAGAGCTGCACAAAGTAAGCGTCATTTCATCAAGTGCTCCCTATTAACAGCTTGCACAGTTCATTCACACCCCTTCATTTCATGGGGTTAAGAAGTTGCTTTGTTTCCTGCCGAAATAAACAGTAAAAAATATCAGGAATTGGATCTGATCCCAGACATGTCTGGCAACCCTAACACATTTACACGGAAGCATTCCTAATCCTATTAGTTGGCAAATACTGAATAGTTGGTTGACTGCCATGTAGGTAAAACAAAACCTTCATATTTCTTAAACTCCTGACCTTTGTCAATTCTTTCAGCTTGCTACTGAAATTTAGCAGAGACACCAGGAAGCTTCCAGGAAGCTTGCAAGTTTATCACACTAGCGGTGTGCCAAGAGACTTCTCTCTCAAAAGGCCCGAGACAGACAGACAGGAAAAAAGAAAAAAAAGGCAGACTGTACCAAGACCCACAAGCACTATGACTTGGAATATATAATTAAAAAACTAACTATAGCTAGCAGTCAAAAATAAACGTACTAACAAAAAACCCTAATGGTTCTTTGAAACTCATATTCAATATAGAAAATCTAGGCAGTGAAAACAGTAATTTCTGCAACTAGTTCAAGTGTAAACAGTGAGCAAAGCACAAAGATACAGCTTTAAATGATTTTCTCTGAAATCCTACCAACAGGATGGGTAAAAACACCCTTATTTGGAATTAAACCTAGTGCAGAGCACATCAATATTTTCCATCAGAAAATTTTAATGCTTTCCTTTATTTTTCCCATTTAGAAATTGGAATGTTCTGCTTCCAATTTAAATTTTAATTAGATTTTAATTTTAATTTCAGCTGTCTCTGTACACATCTCTGATGGGTACTGACGTGACACTGTCTCACACAACCACAGACAGCACAGGTCTTCGCAGTGAAAAGCTGGCGACAAAAACCCCCAGAACTAGAGAGCTCCAAGAAGTCTTTCAAGATAACTTAGAGGGCTTTTACACGCAGAAGAATCGCTGTGATGCCATTCAGCCACTGAACAACCCCGGTTCGAAGACAGCAAAGCTCCAAGACACCTGGCTGAATTTCCACTAGAGGGGGCACGAAGCCCATCTCATACAGCAAAGACCAAGTTCAGCCTGGCTTCTCCAGCCACAGAATCTCTTCCAAGGGGTCAGTGTCCCAAAATAGTTACAGATGGTCAGAAAGCACATTTGTTCTTCCTTTTTTTAATGATCCCAAATACCTCCCTACAAGGCAAACTAGAACATTGCTGCTAATGATGTTCCGGATCACCCTTAAGCAGCTAACTTTGCTTCTAAACCCCTACACAAGACTGTCAACTTCTAACACTCCGTGAATGCCGTGAGTTACTTCTCATGATTACCCTATTGCTATCAATTTTCTCAATTTATTCTCACTTTCTCAAATGTGCAATGCAATTTTCAACTGCTTTGCACTAACACCCTCCCAACATCTCCACAAGCACAAAATCAAAACAAAGAAAAATTTGCTAAACTAAAGCAAGCACCAGAGAAAATTGAAAAATAAATAAAGCCTGAATATATCTGAAGATATTTAAGACTAAAGGTGCTGGCAGAGCACACAACAGTGTCCATGTGCTGTGTCCAGCATAAGGAGCTCTCCACTTCAGGTAATATAACAAAGCAAAAGGTACTAGAGCTATTGGACATATTGTGTGATATGGTGGGTTAAAAAAGTAATCTTTACCATCTTGGAAGACTCTCTCCACATTGAGTCCGTAAGTAGCACAGGTTTCATAGTAAGTGCATCTCTTGAGATCATTCGATAACTTCCGCGCTCTGGCATCGTCTATGACACGTGGATTACTGGAACTTATAGCATCTGCAGCAACGGCAGGGATAAAACACATATTTAAACATAATGTGAAAACAACATCTTATAATTACCAGTACCCTCACAGTGAACGTAAGCAAAAACCATGAGATTTTTAGAATTTTTAGAAAACAACAGGGGTGCACGCCACTCGCATTTTATACTTTGTTGCCAAAATCACCAGCATACTGGTTGATTCTAAAAACCAGGAAAAAAATCCAAAATGCTTTTTTGATACCTTAAAAATATATTGAAGACACTAACTGCAACATATACACAATCACATTAAAGAATGGGAGCTCTGATGTAAAACACACTTAGAAAAACAAATGGCTGAGGGTTACAAACATGAAAATGATTTTTAGGCCTCCTATGAATATCAGCACTGGCTTACAAGTAACCTTCACCTGTAGAGCGTGACATGTTTGTAAGGACAAGAACATTTTCAGTAGAGAAATAATGGGGTGGGGGGAGAAATGGTACCAGGTTTTACTGCAACATTCAGCGAAGTGTTAGATTTGCACGAGAAGTGCTTTTCTTAAAAAAAACCCAAGCCAGCCAACACTAAGACAAGTGGGGGGAGGGAGAAATAAATCACGGTGGCAGATAAGAAATAACAAAGCTGTACAGGGCTGCAGTTACCATGTTGCTAAAACCCAGAGTCCAGCTCTTCCCTCGGTTCCTCAATTGTGCTTTTTTTGGTCCTTTCCATTTTTTAGCCTGGTTCTCTCTGCGTTTCGCTCGGGCAGAGAGCACCAACAGCGTGCTGGCGAGGCCGGGCTGGAAGCAAAGCCCCCTGCTAAACCCCAGCGCCGAGCCCGCGGCACACACCGTGCCTCGGCCGAGGCACACACTCGCCAGTTGAACATGAAACGGAGATTTCTGATATAGTCCAGGCTGCGCTGCTGACCTGGCTTTCAAGTCACAGCCAAGACTGGATCCAGGAAACTTACCCTAAATGACTCAAAGTCTCAAACCCTGATGTAAAGGCATCCATGAGACACTGTGTGAACATACTGCACGACCAATAATAATATTTTTCTAAACAGATAATAATACTTTGTAACTCTCTGCAAGAGCTACTTTTCACATATGCTTTTTAACTGCGATTTCTAGAGCTTATCCATAGCACCTGAGAAGAACATTACACCAGGGAAAACAAAAAATCTTTAACTGATTAAGTTTCTTCCTGGTTATTCTTGTAGTGAAGAACTCTACAAAGGTTATATTGTTTGACTGTTTATAACTTGATAATATGATGAACAAATCCTAAAAAGCAACTTTTTTTTTTTCCCCAGGAGCATGACAGTAATCGATCAGCTGTGTCAAAAGAAGTTGTAAGGGGAGACAGCCCTACAACCTACCCCACAAACCTCTGCAGCTACCACCTCACCACCACGACAGGCACCCATTTCAGCATTTAGAGCCGCTCAGAAAGTTCTCCTAAAACCCTGCTACTTTCCATGGTAGCAAAACCATCTTCGTTCTTCGGGTAAGCGGCATCACTTGAACGCGAGCGTGAAGCCAGTGCCCACCGCAACGCTGCGTTTGAGACTCGGCTATGGGCGTGACGTGACCACAGCTCAACTGATGTCGTCGCCACCTTCTCAGGATTTCGAATTAATAAAACCAGAGCCGTTATTCGGAAAGCCAACGGCAGAGTTGTTGTAATCAGCAGAGGGCGCTGGAAACATTTAACCAGGCAGGAATTGATAAGCAACACCACGGCTTCAAAAAGTTCGACTGCCCAAGCAAATCCAGCGCTGCAGCCTGGCCCGCCGCAGAACGACGGGGCAGAGGAGAGCGTCTGGAAGCATCAGGCAAGTGCTGACATTTTGGGAGTGATGTCATTTCACAGCTCATTTCAAGAACACCGGTCAAAACTGACCAACTGCATGTCAAACAGGTATACTTCAAATACATTTAACAGGTATATTTATATATTTCATATATTTTGTTTCACTGAACTGTTTCACAGTTGAAGGACCCAAAAAGCTGTATCTTCTTCTAATGCTTACTGCCAGAATTAGTAGTATTTGTATCTTTAGTGACATTTTTAAAATCCCCTTTCCATCAGTGCTGCAACAGAAAATGAACTTTGAAAAAACAAATTCCTTTCCGGTAATAACAGGAATGAGGTGGAAAACCACACCCTAAAGTGTCAGAAGTGCAGAAAGAAGTCCCAGGGCAATGGTAGAGTCCCCATCCCTGGAAGGGCTCAAAAAACACGTGGATGTGGCACTTTGTGACATGGTTTAGCAGGCACGATGGTGATGGGTTGATGGTTGGACTTGACGATCTTAGAGGTCTTTTCCGACCTTAATGATTCTATGATTCTAAGAAAAACACCTCAGGGAAACGTTCCCGCCTCTCCTTTTTCAGCTCCAGTTTTAAGCTGACAGCGTGGCCCTTCAAAACAGTTTCTGCTTTTTGGCTGTAGTTTCTGCTGTCCTACGACTTTTTGGGTACCTACTTCCCTTTTCATTTTTCATCATCTGTTTCCGCCCTACGAGTCCTCCTTCCGTGCTGCCCACACTTCCCCTGCCTTCACACGGCCGCGCTGGTGGCACAGCTCTGCAGGCAGGCAGGGCAAAGCAAACTGCTCTCCGACCACAAAGCTGACAAAAGAGTAAGCTGAGAAAGCAGTGAAAAGCTTCAGCATCGCCAAAACCAGCGGCGTACACCAAGAAAAGGAAGACGCCCAAAATCGACCCTACAAGAGCAACTTGGGACATTTGCATTCGCCCGCTAACACGGCTCAAAACCAGCGGCGTACACCAAAAAAAGGAAGATGCCCAAAATCGACCCTACAAGAGCAACTCGGGACATTTGCATTCGCCCGCTAACACGGCACAGTAACCTGGACATACACTGGGAAAGAAATGTTTCAGTGGGACAGAACTCACAAAAGTGTCTCTCCTACGCTTCCAAAACAGCAGCTCTGCGCAGTCAGAAGCCTGACGTCCAGCACCTATGTAAGAACTCCTCCTTTCTGGTAAGAATTATCACAGGAGGGACATCTCCATGGCTATGTGCAGAGCAGCCTCAACTCTCCTGTGTCTACTCCACTCAGCAAACCAACCGCAGTATGGGAAACGTTAATGTGATGCAGGGAATATACAAAAGACAGCTCAGATGCAAAAGAAATTAAAATATTGCTGGTACCTTTCCCTTGTTACACTTCCCCGTTGGATAGCTGCAGCTGGCTGCTGCTCCAGAAGAGGTTTTGGAAAAAACATAATTGGTGGGGGTTGTTTCAGGTGGCAAAAAGCTGCATTTCTATTTGATTTAAAGAGGAGCCGACCACCCAGGGGCATGGTTCAGTTCTGCTTCTTAACACAGTGTTGGAGGTTTTCAGTCTCTGGTCCGTCTGCCTCTCGGGAATGCCAGGGTATTGATCACTTCTAGACTGCCAAGCTAACTGAAACCAAACTTGGTCACACAAATGACTCACCTGCCCAAATTCAGCATCAGCAGCTCCCTGCTGATCAGGAAAACCATCATGAATAGCAAGCACTGAAAATATATTTTTTTTTTTTTTTTAATACGTTGCTAAGTCATCATTGCTAAAGTCCTACACTTCCTCTCCCCACGACACCTGTCTCCCCCTCAAACCTGCCCCTGCAACGCCAGGGCCCTGCAGCAAGCCCGGACAGCCGAACACCCCCCTGCTGATTCACCGGCAGTTCATCCACAAGCTCTCGTCGTCAGATACGCGGCAGTGCTGATGCCAGAGAAGGGAAAAGACAGGACGTGGCTTTGCCAGCTTGGAAGACTCTATACAGTCACAGAAATACACTCGTAAATCAAGACTGCACTTACCCTGAGTTCCCACTAGTACCATTGGGATTTCACTAGTGTTACGATAGTTCGCCATACGGCTGTAGTAGTGGTAAACAGTCTGGAAGCTAATTTCATCTTCCAAGCTGAAGACAAATATAACAGCATCCACCCACATGGCAAACTGCAGAATAAAAACAGAAAAGGGATCCTGTGAGAAAAGCAGCGAAGAGGAAAAAGAGAAACATTCTTACCTTACCTGGAGTGAAATGCACACCAGAGAAACTTTGTTAGTGACAATAACCGAGGCCTTAAAAGTGCCGTATCGTTACCAAAACGGCGAATCATCATTCATCACTCTGCAAGTGGTGGGGATCTGGGATACCCAAAGGTTTTTCCCCACACTCACAACTGCATCTCTTCTTCCCTGGTACGTCGTGTCACAAGCCCAGCTACCTTCAGCACACACTGGTTTTGATTCACAGAAAAAGAAAACATCGCAGCCTCAGATTTCTGCATTTGTGAATTATAAATGAAAGCCACTTATCTCTCAGCACTTGAGTGCCCTATTTAGTGTGTTATTTCCCCACTCTGTGCTCTACATGCACCCATGCTGATGTTTCTGTTCATGCCAGGACAATTATTACAGTCGTGGTTTCACAAACACTGCTAGTACTTCTCAGATCATGATCAATGTCCAAAACCATGAAATTTCATATTTTCCAGCTAGTCACCATACAGACACTCCAACTGAGCAAACAGTACCGAATGTCTCGTTTGGCCTTCAGTGCTGAAGCAAACTATTCTCTCTTGGCATCAGCGACCTGCTACAAGACAGGCATACACCCAGGCCACGGCAAGGTGCTGCTGAAGTGGCCATGCAAGTGAAAAAGTTTCAGCTCACAAGTGAAATAAGATTGTTTAAATACGTTTACCGTAACAGTAAATGTATGCAGGACATCAAAAAAGAGGACCAAAGTTCAGCTTACCTCACTGCCTTTATTCTTCCCTAAGTGACTCCATTCCTACCCAAACGTAGACCAATGGAAACAAGATTCAGCCATCGGTATTCATACTTTGTATTTCGTTACTACTGCAATAGGCCAGGCAGACTGGGGCCACACTGAACACAGAGAGCTGCAGGGAGGTTCATTTGGGAAACGTTTATGTACGTTTTGCTGAGTCGTACACGACTAGCCCGGGTTTGTAAGCACTCACTTCAGCCCTACCAATTCTTGCAGTTTAGTTTCTGCTCTTGCAGTATTTGAACTGCTCCACTCACTAGCTTGTAGATTCACACGGTCTCAGCTTTTAGTACGGCATCTCAAGCTGGCATATGCAAAGGGAAGAAAAATGAACCTGCAAGATGAAGTTACATACTGAAGTTGCTGAGCTCATTAAATTTTCCTTTTTCAGAAGCATGAGCTAGTAGTGCTTCTTGCTTATTTTTCATACAGCATATTAGCTAATAATTTAAGTTAATGTGCATATTCGTGACTGTATGGTACTTGAAATCAAACAAGTCTCTTGTGGCTACAGTGTAAAAATAGCCAAAAAATGTTTTGAGGTTTTCAAGACAGTCAGGAGGACAATTACCTAGATGTTACACACAGCACAGTTACTGCCAGAATAAGGTCAACTACCACACTATTAAATTTGAACTATTCAAACCAGAAGATCAAATCAAAGGAATGGGAGACAGCGTCATTACTGTGGACTTGGTTTTGGGTCTTATTATAAAATGGTTCTTGCTGACTGGACTTAGCAGCATCACACCAAGAACTCTTCCTTACAGCTACAACGTGCTTAAAGCATCAGTTTGGAAGCTAACAGTCTCTCTACATCTTCTTCATGTTTCAGTGAGTAGCAGCAGCCTCTTAAAAGATTATTAAAAAAATCCAGAGGGTGGGTATTTAATGCAGTTCCTCCAGATGCAAAATATTTCCAGCAATTTCTTATTTCTCTTTTTATATTAAAGTGAGTTTAAGCTTTGTGGATATCAGACCTGTGATATTAAAAACCATAGGAATTTTGGAAAGCACGTACAAGGTCTGATCCACACCACTGTGCAGGGAATGGCTTGAAATAAGAATGGTAAGTCAGCTGCTGATAGACAAATCCATCTGCAGGCTTACTACTGACATTGAGCATATCTGTTAGTTCAAGATAAGCTGAAACAAAACCAAATTATTAAGTTCTAAATTTCAAGAACACAGCATGTGACAGCTCTTTATAACTCAGTTGCTATGTTGATCAGGTTTTACAATAGGAGGCCACTACATTTGTAACAGCTCACAGCAAGAATAAAATAAACCTGGTGAGCAAAAGAAATGGTCAATATCCACAACCTGAAGCAGCACCAGCTAGCACACCTCATCACCTTTTCATTCTATCAAATGAGCTTTTTCTTTTTTAATTATTTTCACCTTTGAACAATATTATGTTAGACAAGAGAGAGAAAGAGCCAGAAAGTGAGTCTCCAGGTGAGCTCGTTCTCCCTCCCCTCCTGCCAGGAAGGGGACAGCAGACAGAGAGCCGAGCCACCACCTTGGCACCACAGCAAGGAAACCCCCCCTGCCTGGGGAACTCCCCCGGCCCCGTTCTGCCGAGCGCCAGAAAGACCACACTTCAGCTCGTTACTTATTGAGACTCTAATTCTATCCTAATTATCCATAAAAATACACTGCACTGCTGCAAAAAGCAGGGTCTTAAGGCTAAAAGTACCAACCCTTTCTGTAACATAAGCAAATAGTGAGAGGTACACATTTTTCTTCTGATAATGTTCTATTTCCATTACACAGTTGTAAATATTCAGAAAGCCAGAAGTAAAGTTTTTATTCCAGAAATTAATAAACTGAATAAAGAGCTTTAATACACATGCAACTTGAAATTACACCAAAAAATCCAAAAAGAATTTACACGTGAAACACATAATCTGAGAAGTGAAACAGTACTAACACCTGAAACTTTTCCATACTCATGATTTGCTGAAGAACAAATCAGAGCCACAATAGTAATCACAAACCCCACATTTACCTAGCATAGACCAAAAACAAAACACTCTGTCTGTTCATTAATCTGCAGTTAGGTCAAGTGAACTCTGCAAACACAGTTCTTCAGGTATAAAAATACTCTGATTGCTGTGTGCACCTTCACAACTCCAGTATTTAGGTTTTTATATGAGTAAATGTTATCTAAGCGTCGGGGACTAGAAACTGTTGTGTACATCAGCCAAATTATTCACAGCCTCAAACAGAGCACTTCTTTTAGGCTCCTGCCTGACACGGCTGCAGATGTGTCAGCAACACTGATTTTTTGTCTTTATTTTAACTTCCTTCCAGGATGTGTCCCTCGGTCTCCATTTCCTCCACCTCCTTTCTCTTCTCCTTTATCCAGGCACCTTCCCCCACGCTCTAATCCTCCTGCAGCTAACGAGCAATAGTGGAGCATTGAACCACAAGCTTCTGCCGCTGGCACCGCTCCCGTTCAGCTGTTTGGCGATAGCACGGTTCCTGTGGCTGGATTTAGGGTTGGTTTTTTTTGAAGCTGATCCCCCACTGTATGGCCGAGCAAAGCAAGGCCAGTGGCAGCCACACACTTTAGAAACCCCACGAGTAACGGGGTAAGAAGCAGCGGAGGGAGAGGAGGAGGATGCCTGAAGGCAAGGACGCTGCCTGCAGCCAGGCTGGCAGAGTCAGCGGCGGTGATTTAAGCATCACCTAAGCAAACACTTCACATCCCGGTGAGTGGCCTGCTGCGAGACAAGGAGGTGACACACTGTATGGAGACACCCAGCCAGGAACCGGAGAACTCCGCGGTGCCAAGCTGGAACTCACAAAGCTGAGTCTCAAACAGCCCAGGGAGCACGACACAGAAGCAAGAGGGGGATGCAAAGAGTTGTACACAAGTATGTGTGTCGCTGTGCATACACCCACTCCATATTTTAACAATTTAGGGATTCTAACTCAGAAGAAACCTTAATAACATGCAGTTTTGTGGTCACTGGAAGCATATTGATTAGGCCTTCAATATAAGCTAGCCACATATCTTTATTACATAGTTCCACAATGTAAGTAAAACCCCAAATAATTTCTAGACAGAGTATTTTTCACCTGAGGGTGACATGTACTTTCTCGCAGCAGAAACACGACCAGGACCCAGTAAAGTAGAAAACAGAGCCAGATCTCTTAAAGGAAGGTTTTTTAAGAGAAAGGAAAGCGTGGGGTTAGGCCGGTAAAGCTCTCCATACGCAACGCTCACCTGTGCCTCTGGAGGGCCCCCTTCATCTCTGATCAGCAGCAGATAGCTCTGTCCATCCACCACTATCTCCTTCTTGAACCTCCCACCTGCCACGCAAAGGAACTCGTTACAGAACAGCAAAGGCAAAAGATACAAAACAGAAAAAGGCTTCGCTTGTGGAAAAAAGGCGTCCTTAAGATCTTTTGCAAATTAATGAACTACCGTGAATGTAAGTTAAGTTCATATGCATAGAAATGACTTGAAGTCAGATACTTTAAAAATATGGCTAATGTGGAAAAAAGCCAACAATTACATTACAAACACGAACTCCCATGTTAGGTGTACTTGATTTTGATAAATATCATTAAAAGACAGTCACCTTTGTTTTATATAATGGTGAGAAATGTATCTGTAAGAAAGGCAAACATGGGACTGTTGCCTACAAAACAACATCATGTATTACAACTAAAATAAATTTCTCGTGTGAATTAGCATTTCCTCAAGAGAAGCCCAGTTCTTACAGCACACATGTAATGTTATGAAAATGATACTTCTATATTCACAAACCACAGTTAGGGGAAAATACTAGACACATGTTAGACAAAAAAAACTACAATGGTGGTAACCTCTGCAGAGATGTGCTAAACTAACAGAGAATGTTGCGCCACTTGCTAGGAGGATGAATTAAAGACTTCTTTGTGCGATCTAGATACAAAGAGCGGAGTCATGGCCTTCAGCCAAATTCTATTCCTGATCGTATTATTTCAGGGAGATGTAAAATATTGAGTGCTTGTGAAGACCAAAGAGCTGGCACCGAACCTAAGAAACCAAGCCAGGGTGTGCAGCTGCCCGGTCACCTTCTCTCTCCACTGGCCTCAGGGGACTTCGAGCATGACCCAAGGGCAGAACCAGGACTGCTTTCCTTTGGGGTTAAGCGTATTTTTGGGCATCCTGCTGTGTCTCATGACGGACTTCAGATTGTGACAAATCACATTTAGGGTTTCTGGTGTGACCGAGACTAAGCCAGGATTAGCAAACCTGGCCTGCCCAAGTGGTTGGGTTGCCTTGAAGCTCCTCTCCTGGAAGGAAAACAACTCCCATCTCCCACCTAAGCCACAAAGGCCCCAAGGCCTTGACGCTTCGCACTGTCCAACCGCCTCACATCTGAACTTACCAGACTGAGATAAAACATATGTATTAACACACCCTACAACTCTTTCTTCACCCCTGCTTTTTTTAACTGGAATTATTTCCAATTTGAACCCTGTTTCCCAACTAGAATTACTACAGAACTTGTCATACTATCAAACCCAATGCATTTAAACATGTGACCAGTGAGTGAAGAACTCTGACCTGTTCTCCAAACCAGCTCTCTAAGCAGATAAGTCCGTCCATACAGGCTCATGCTTTTTAACGCAGAAACATTTGCACAAAAATTGCTGGCCTTAGGGAAACAACAAACTGGCTTAGACCCACCATCTCCCCAGTCCAACCATTACAGCAGGTTTCAAAGATCATTCAACAATTCAGCTATGTGCAATATTTAAGTGTATTTAAACATATTTCATGTTCAATAAAAGCCAAAAAACAGGTGTCTGCTTGTGAGTTTGTTGCTGTTGGTTTTGTGTTGGTTTTTGTGTGTTTTATTTTCTTTACAAACCTACCCTACTATGAACAGCTTAGCAGTACCAAGCACGTAACAATACTGTCAGATTTCTGGTTGTTTAATTGCACAGGAGTAGAAGAGCTATGTATAGATTTTCATTATCTTGCTCACAAACCGAATTTCAAGTGGCAGACAAACACACATCATTAGCGAACTTCAAAAAAATAATCAAAACCAAGCACAAAACTTTAAAAAGGAAATTAGTCTCAGCTCTCAGGAACTGAATTTCTATTAACCAGATCATTATTTCTATATGTCGTTAATTAGTTGTATATGCTTCGTAATGAAGTGTTAAATAAGATGAATTACTTAATATACAGCCCTCCAGAGAGGCTCTTCAGCGCTGTAAGTAACAATGGAAATGCAGTATATATGTGATTGAAGAGTGAGAGTTCTATGTAACTGCCATTTCCTATTCCCTTTTTTAAACAGTGAAAGTTCATACAGCTAATTATAAAATACCACAAACTGAACCCATTTAAGAGCCAACTTATTCCCTCTTGTCAGCAGGACGCCTTTCAAGTCTCACTGTATCTTCAAACAGCCCTCAGAGGCCTGAAGAAGGTACAGACAAGGTGAAATAAAAAGCTTGAGTAGAGAATTGGGGGGTGGGAAGATAAAATCCCTGGATGTAGTATTAAAATGTATATACACAGATCACACATGTGACCACAAATCTTTATTTCTGTGAGCCACTTCACGGTCACCAATGATTTTGTTTGTGGGAGCAGCTTTGAGAAGTGTACCATATTTAGCAAATACAGTATAAAGTTATCCACCAGCTCTCTTCCTACTTGAATCCACACAAAGTGACCAGCTTGTAAACCTGTTCCTTGCCTTCCCCCAAAACACTGCGCCTGGAGCTCGGTACAATGATAATGTATTTTTACTTCCAGCATTAAATTCCAACCTCGACACGCTGTACCACTTCACCACAGTCTGCCACGCTGGAAGAGCAGCGCTGCCGTCAACAAGCGTACAGTCAACTCGAATCTATTCAAGCGGCTTCTTTACCCTTAAAAGCCGAGTGTGCTCATTAGCTCAAATATGCATTAGTTCCTTGCACATTCTCATGCATTCATTTATTTTTGTTTGGGTTTATGTATTTCTCGATAAATAGTTTAAATGCAATAAACCCCTCTACCAAGACGCTTGAAAGAATGCCCTGCATTTCAAATCAAATCTGAAGATTCAGAAACGTAACAGCCGACTCACATCCCCCAAACAACAATTATTTTATGCAAATTTGAGATCAAAGCAGGATTCATCCCCATTAACTTCTGTTTCTACACCATTAAAGATCCGTTCTCATAAGCACACCATAAAATGCAGTACTACACAGGACAGAGATTGAGAAAACCCACCTCAAGATCAAGAATTTACACAAATCAAAGTATAAACAGTGATGAATGTACAGACGTCTGCCAGCATACGAAACCAAGGCTACGTGGTTGCCCTGCAGATATCCGTGGTCATAAGATTAAGGCAAACAATAGACCGATTCTGCCTTTGACTTGATGAGCCCTGATGTGACCCATCTCCAGGCCGGGCAACTAAATGCAGCGCAAGGGCAGTGATTTTGGGATGGTCTGGCTTGGTCAGCACTGCCCTAGCAATATTTTTTAAAATACATCTTTGGAGTTCGTAAAGCACCACAGGGCCCTCAGGGAAGAGGAATTAGAGGGATCAGCCAGTTCGAATATTGAACTACCGCAATCTGTCAAAGAAGTCTAGGAGTCTCCCACGGCTACAAAACAGCGCTGTATTTTTCTCAGTATCTGTATATATGATGAAGTCACAAAATACCGTCTACACTAACAACACTGCAAACAAAGAAACGACCTCCTTAAATTAAAGAACAAACTCAAAACCCCACAGCACTAGTCCCAAGGGAGGTAGCTAGCTTTGTTCCAGTCCCATCAGTATTATGACACACGCAGCTTTTTAATGAGGGAATTTCTCAACTCCCCTGTGTACCTGCCAGAGGAGGTCACTGAGACACAGACTGGCAGCCTGGACCACAGCTCTGAAGGACGGCTTGATGGCTCCTGCTACATCCCAAGAGGCACATCAAAGCAGAAAGATGCCAGAGTGCAAGGCGTGCGGCCCACAGCTGAACTACGTTTACTTGCAGCTCCAACCCCATCTCTAAAGCCGTGTAAAAGACATGCCAGTGAATACCTAAAGAACTCTACGCAGCCAGACAGATGGAGCTGGAAACTGTTTTCATGAAATGTCACAGCAATTTTATGAAAACAAATCATTGAAACTGTGTGGAAGCTTTAATTTGGGAGGATTTTAGTACGTGGTTTATTTATTTTCTCTAAAACTCTGTATTTATAAATCACTGCATTATTCCCAGCTTTCCAGGGCGAAATCATTATCAATTCACACAGCTTCTTTTTCAGACACGTACAGAATATCGCAGAAGGCAGCAAATATTACTCCCGCCTACGAACCACGCACAATACCCACCAGAAGATACAGAGCGGTGCTTCTGATGCAACCCATAAAACCACCCAGTCTCTTGGGTGCATTAAGCCAGATTCCTACTATGAAATGCTCCAGATAAAAAACATAGCTTTGATCAATATAAAGCTAAATAAAATCTGTGCATCAGCGATTTACAACCACAGCCAAAGACCCAGCACAAGTCAGCATACCAGGCGGAGGGAGTCAACAAAAGCTGCCTAATCTCATTTCTACGCACGTCGTTCTGCATAGGTTGGTGCTTCCAACCAGCAGTAGTAAGAAACTGTCCTTCAGTAAAAACTGATGCCAATTTTAAATACCACCCGCGTTTGTCATCTAAGGTGCTCTACATTGTGAAAGCTTCGTATTACATAGGGAATTTCACCCGGCTATGCAAGCCCGGCCGCCTCTTCCTCTAGCTGGTAGCTGTTCCACTGCGTAATTGCTCACCGAAGCAACCGCTGATTTTCATACTGTATCCCCAGGCTCGACCGCCGTCGCCAGGCTCTTTATTCAAACCAATTGCCACGGGGATGAAGTTATTTGGCCGTACGAGAAAGATAAATTCGGGGGGCTGGCTGCACGACAAACCCATGCAGCAGCTGAACGCCTGCCATGACCACGGGGGCAGGGCAGGCAGGAAAGCAGAGACGGAGGACAGGACTCAAGCAGCCATAAAAGCCTGGATTTTATATTCCCAGTGACATGTGCACTTTGACAGCAGTGGCCAGTTGTCTCACGAACACAGATATTTTTTTTTTCTCTTAAGACAGAAAAGAGAGTGCCAAGAATCTGGCTGTTCTTTAGGGAAACACATTGAAAAGTCATTTATTCCCTCCATTCGTATGTACACTATTTCAGGACCCAATATGTGAAAACTGTTGGTTAAGCTCAGAAGAAAAAGAAACATTCTGCCACTAAGCAGAAGCACCAAAGAACGACTGCAACAGCCCAGTAAACCAATGCCAG